CAACCTCCCCATCGGCCCTGCCTTGAGTGTGACAGGGAGCGGTACCCCAACCCCCCAATCGGCCCTACCCTGAGTGTGACTGAGGGTGGCATCGCAACCTCCCAATCCTCCCTGCTCTGTGCATGACAGGGGGTGGCACCCCAACTCCCCAGTCGGCCCTGCTCTGAGCCCAACTAGGGGCTACGGGGCAGGCACCGAGGGATTGGGCCTGCCCTCTGCCACCCGAGAGTGGGCCTAAGCCAGCAGGTCGTTATCTCCTGAGGGGTCCCAGACTGTGAGAGGACACTAGTGAGGCTGAGGGACACCCCCACTCCGCCAGTGCACAAATTTTTGTGCACCAGGCCTCTAGTCCTATATAATAAAAGGCTAATATGCAAATCAATTGAACGGTCGCTATGACACGAATTGACCACCAGGGGGAAGACACTCAATGCAGGAGCTGTCCCTGGTGGTCAGTGTGCTCCCACGGGGGGAGTGAGCTCAGCTGGGCTCATGGCTGGTGAGGTCAATGGCAGTGGCGGGAGCCCTTTGTGCACTGGGCCTCTAGTTTATTTATAACTACAAGGTCTCCTATTTCTGACATTCCCACACCTCCTAGGACCTCAGCCTTCTCCTTCCAGCCCGACTCTTATGAAAATGAATTTCTGACACAAATGGATATAGATTCTTACCCTATTTTTGTCTTATCTACATCTGTTCCAGTTTTGCCTAAGATAAACCACAAGATTGGGGAGGCTTACATATGTTTAGAAGCTGTGGCATAATACAGATGTGAATCCAAAATAGGATGCCCCTTAATTTGAGCCAGTGCTGGGTTCCTGCTTTCCTTTAATCCCATCAGCCTAGAGCACTGGTAAGGTCCATCCTAGGTTCATATACAGGTGAGGCAGGGAAGCTTCCAGAGATTCCTCATAACGGAAAAGAAAACAAATGTGTAAACTTGATGATGGGCAAAGGATCAGAATCCTAGGTAAGATGAGATGCTGAGAACAGCATGGTGTCTTACTCAGATTGCCTCCTTTAGGGCAGTGCAGAGTGGCATGGAAAAGGAGTTGTTACTAGGCATGATTTAGGCCACTCAGGTGAGAGTTTCTGCTCTGATCAAGAGAAGTAATGTTTCTCCAATGACAGGCTGGATAACAGACGTGTTCTTTGTGGTGTTAATGCTTTGACCAGAATAATATAAACTCTTTTTTGTTTCTTCCACTCTGCTCTGTCATGTGGATGCCAATGTTAAGCCATGTTGAGTTAAAATCTGTGATATTTTGGGAAGAAAGCAAACAAGCAGTGTGGGTTTGAAATACGTATGATGATGTTAAACCCCCACCTAGGTCCTATTACCGACTGTGTGGTGTAGGCCAAATTACTAAATCACTCTGAAAGTTTGCTTCCTTGTCTATGAAAGGACGAAAATAGGTGAAGACAAAGAACATATATGCATAGCCCGTGGACACTGACAACAGTGTGGTGGTGGCCAGAGGGAGGGGAGCTGGGGCTGGATGGAGGTGGGTAAGGGGGAGTTGGGATGTGGAACATCTGTAATAGTGTCAACAATAAAAAAGGAATAATGTTGGTTTCATAGTGTTACTGGTGAAATGTAAATAGGGTAATTGGGAAATATCCCACAGAATTCTAAGGATAAAGAAAATGCATCCTTTTTTGTTTCTCATCTCTTTGAAAACAGTGACTCATGTTGAAAGGGTGTCACTGGGAGGAATTGACCTCCAGACAAATTGGCTGTATATATATATATGTATGTATATAGTCATAAAACAATATTCATAAGCAGTATTTGGACTTATGTGCTAAATAAACTCTAATTAGGAGTATACCTCCAAAACAAAAGAAGTCATAAGAGCAAAATATAATTTATTAGAATTCTAAAACTCAAATATTAAAAACAGTTAATAGAATTTCCTCATATACTCAAACATTTCCTGCAGTTTAATAACAAAATAGAGTTGGGGTTTTTTTGTGTGTTTTTTTGTTTTGTTTTTTGTTTTTTCAGTCCTCACCACTTCTCAGACCTACTGGAGGCTATAATTCAGTGGTACCAGTTACCTTCACAGAAGCTTGGTCTTTTAGGCCCATTCTTTGTCAAGTATTTTTGAACTGACATAGTAAGAGTGAATGCCATCCCTAATTTTCCTAATGGGCTCTTCTTAAAATATTCTAAATTCAAACCTATGGTTTATGTTTTGTGTGAGAAAAATTATCCTATATTTTCTTCTTCCTCTTCTTTTGTACGGTTTTAACCTTAACACAAGATATACATATTTTAGAGAAAATAACAATTTCTCTAGGTATAGTTAAAAAGCCTGTTTGTTTCTTGCTAACTTTCAAATGGGGCACTCGATAATTCCATAGTGCTTTTTGTTACACTTAGAGCCATTTTAATTGCTTTATTCAAATTGTTCGTATACTGGGGTAAGGGGGCTCAGAGCAAGGTTTGTGGTTTTCTGGGGCTGGAAATGTCTTGATTCCATGGAGATAAAAAGACTAATGGCCAGAGATAAAATGTATTTCCCAAATGAGCTAATGAATGAAGCTTTTTGAGAACTGAGAGGAAAATAGGAGGGTGGAGGGAAAAGCTTCCCTTTTGCTTCCTAATTTCATGGGAGAAGAAAGATATGAAGTGATAATGGTATATGAGAAAATTCAGATGAAAAAATCAATGCAAAGAAAGCAGATAATATACTATCACATATATGATACACTTGAATGATGCATGATAAAACAAGAATAGAGAGGAAGAGAATTCAGAAAACACCATAATTACTGTGTTAAAGAAATCACTCATTATCCTATGCTGGACACTTAAGCCCTGAACTTGTGTTTTTTTTTTTTAAATAAATTTCTCTTCCATATCATTCTGACCACTTGGGGCCAGAAGAAGTAATTTATAGTCCCTGGAACAGGTGTTCTTTGAAATTTTGTTGAGATTCCTACAAGTCCTTATCTGATTTTGTCGTGTTATTGGTTCTAAGAGTGGGTCTACAATGTTCCGTCAAGCTATTAGCCTTTCCTGATGCTTTCTTCCTTTCACAGGGTTTCCTTACTCCTAGAATATTTTATGTAATGATCATCCTAATGGGTGATGACAGACATCAAGTTCTGTCACCAGGACTCTGGGAAAGACAACTTCCCTAGTAACTGACTCATATTTATTCTAGACAAAGCTCTTTCTAATCAAATGGTGCAGAATGAAATGAAACTAAGATTCTGATATTTCTGTCTCTCGTATCGAAAACTCGTATAATTAAACTTTGCTTTTCACAGAAATAGATTTATTGGGCTCAGATGCAGATGCTTTTTCAGATCGAATGTCATCATCTCTAGTTGTTACATTACAGAGCAGGTAGTTGACTATAGGAGCCTGCTTAACCCCAGGTGAGTATTCTGTCTTGATAGAGATGCCCTTCGTAGCAGCATATATTATGGAACTGTTAGCATACACTTACAGCAATAAGGGCAATGGAAATTACAGAGGAATCTAAAAGGAAATTAGAGAGAACAAATCCTCAGCAGAAGAGAAACCGCATCTCAGATTTTGCTGAGAATTTGCTGTAGGAGTCCATGGCTCTCTGCCCCTGTGCTTACCCACTTTGTGATTTGTCCCAGAGTCTGTGCGCTCTGTCACTTTCTACTTATGCTCCATGTTCTGGACAGTACACCATGTTAAGGATAGAACTGATGAATATATATTCTTGATAGCAGAAATCTAAGACATGAAATTGTGAATATTCACATCACCGTTCCCCAGATCTCACAGAGAACAAATCTTCCACCTTCAGGCCTCTCCCTGGCATCTCTCACACTGCTCTCTGTTTCCACTTCACTCTCCTCAGGGCACCCTTGATTTCTGCGTTCCTCAGGCTGTAGATCAGCGGGTTCAGCATAGGGTTGAAAAGGCTATAAAACAGGGAAAGGATCTTCTGCTGCTCTTCAGGATGGTAGGATTTGGGGGCCATGTATATGACGATGGCACTGACAAAGAAGAGACCAACCACACAGAGGTGAGAGGAGCAGGTGGAGAAGGCCTTTCTGTGACCCTCTCCAGAGTGGATCCTCAGGATAGCAACGAGGATGCGTGTGTAGGACACCAGCACCAAGCTGAGGGGCCCCACTAAGATAAATACAGAAGCAGCAAAGATGACAACCTGGTTGAGCCTAGTGTCAGCGCAGGCCAGCCTGAGGACAGACAGGATCTCACAGAAGAAGTGGTTGATTTCCTGAGGCCCACAGAAGGGCAGCCTCAGGATGAGAACCACATGGACCAGAGCCAGGAGGGAACCACACGCCCAGGAAATGGCAGCCAGGATTGTGGACACTCTCCAGTCATGATGACAGGGTACTGGAGGGGGTGGCAGATGACCACGTACCGATCATAGGACATCATTACCAAGAGGAGACACTCAGTGTGAGCAAAAGCCATGTATAAAAAGATCTGTATTATGCATGGGACAAAGGAGATAGTTTTTTCCTTGTTCAGAAGGTTTTCCAGCATCTTTGGGACATTGTTTGAAGCATATGAAATATCAACAATGGCCAGGTGTGAGAGAAAGAAGTACATGGGGGTGTGCAGTCGGGAGTCCAGCCAGATGAGCCCCAGAATGACTGCGTTGCCCAGCAGGGTGAAAGCGTAGAACAGAGAGAAGAGCACAAAGAGGAGCAGCTGCATGCTTGGGCTGAGCAGGAATCCCAGGAGAATGAATTCTGTGACCCATGTCTGATTTCCCATCATGCCCTGGCGACTGTGCCTATGTGGGTCACTGCAGTGTGCTGTGGGCTGAGGAGCAAATGCAGATCTGGATTAGTTATTAAACAGAAAGAGGGCATTTATGGTGCCCACTGTGTGCTGACTCAGCTAGTAACCTCTTTCAGGGTCATTACATCAGATTCTTTTATCCACATGAAAGTAGAAATACAATCTGTTCAGGTAACTAGTCTAAATGGGCACAAGGTATCCTGTACTGTTTCCATTTCTAAAGAATTTTATTAACTTTAATGGCAAGATCCACACTTTTACCATCCTGATGGCAGCCACAGAATAAATCATTTTCCAGAATCATTTTATTTTTTAGAAAGGCCCATTGCCATATTCTCACATAGTTTTACTTTCTAATTTATTTAGATTTTTAATTCTGCTCCCATTTTTTCCTCCTCATTTGATTTTCTCTTATTATATAATGTGTGCAGAGTATATTGCCCATTGCAGGTGCTCAATAAATGATCAGGAGCAAATATATGAATTAATGAATTAGGGAATGAGATTTACAAATACAATTTCAAAGAGGTCTGTTTTCCTCTGTATTCACTAGGTTTAGGGCTTTAGTAAATGTTGGCAGTAAGTTTTTTACTTCCTGATGCTATGCAGGAAAATCTAGCTGTCTCCTTTCTGGGCACAAGCAGAGCAACATCACTAATCTGTCCAGTGTTCATAGAGTCAATTCATGGTACAGAGTCAGGGCGAGTGGTTATCTATGTAAAGAGTTAACAATATAACATTACCCCCTCCTACCCTGCCCCAGCCTCTTATAGGGCTTCTCCCCTGCTTCTGAGTAGATACTGTTTCTGGGCCCACTGCATTTGAATAGTGCCTAGTACATTTGTTGGATGGATGGATGGATGAAAGACAATACATTCCACCAACCATGTGGCCATAGGGAGAACCAAAAGGGAAAACCTAAGATATTCCATAGAAGTGTACACCTACTATCTGACAATTCATGGCATTCAAGAGCATTCATTCTCAATGGGCAACGTATAACCCCAGATCTACAAATTCCAACCCTGCCTTAAGCCCAGAAAGCTGCCTGCCCATAAGTTGACCCTGTACCTCCCATTTAGTTTGTTGATTTCTGGAGCCCTTCCTTCCTCCAAACCCTAGCTTCTGTAAATTACCACACTTCGCAAAAGGCCCTTTACTCACTGTGGCACCCGCCTTATCTCAGAGATATTAGATTTAGAGGACACTGCACAGAAGTGAGGAGAGATTTTGCAGGTCGGAGCTGAGGATCTTGCTCCCTCCAACAGTCATGGAAAGAGGATCTTGGCAGGTGCAGGAGTTGTCCCAGTTCTCTTTCTTTTATAGCAAAGGTGGATATTTATTGAAGAACAAGTACAGACTCCCACGTGGGGAGAAGGAAAGAGTCCCACAAAATGGACTCCCATGTGGGGAGGGGGCAAAGGCTTCCACTGATTCCCTCTGTCCCTGTTCTCTTGACGCAGGCGAATGCAGGGATAGGGAGAAGGAAAGAGAGCACAGCTGTAAAGGTTTTACAGTGAGGTCATTGCCACCCAAGCTCTCCTAGATTGTTCCTGAGGGTCCCTGAGAGAGATGAGACAAGGTCACAAAAGATACAGACACCATCTCTACCAGGTAAACCAGAAGTTGTTTGTCTTTCTCTCTCTCTGGGCCTTGGGGATGGATGTTCGGAAGAAAAGGAGCAGGTATTATTGACTTAATACCCAGCTGGATCCATATACATGAAACTTGTATCATAATAAGGATAAACATACTCCTGGGGCCACATTGCAAATTACACCCCCTAAGTATTTGGATAGTGATGGATCCTGGATCTCTGTCTTGTCCCAAATGAAATTAGTGGAGCTCAGAGGAGGCAAAGCATCATCGTTATGAGATAATGACTTCAAAAACTGGCATTAGTTTATTTCTCCTTTCTTCTTAGAGAATTTTAAGTTTGGTATCGGTAGGTAAGAGAAACATTTTTATCAACCTTCCCACACTTGGTGAGAAAGATGCTGAGACATTTCCACATAGAATCTAAGATTTTTATATGGGGTATTAGAAGGAAGGGAAACCAGAAACCAGAGTAAAGCTAGCCTTGAAGAGGTGTCTTGGGGTTTAGAGGACAGGAATGTCAAATTCACATCTAGACTATGATATGCTCATGATGTTCAGTGAACACTCTGATATAATGATACCTTGGAATGAGGTGTTGTCTTTATATAACACAAAATAAAATATAAATAGAGAACTTCTTGAAAATTTTTCTGAATGTCTCTCATGGGTCAATCCTATACAGGTGCGAATGTGTGCATTTATGTGTGTTTGCTCATTGGGCAAAGTTTTGGAGATAATTGTCCAAAACCCACCTATCAGAACACATTTGGTACTTTACTTTAGAGAGATGTAGGTTTTTATGTGTGTGCAATGTGGTTCTGTGTTAACAAGGAAGGAAAGAAAATTTGGCTATGGTTTTTGGTTCACAGCCTCGTTGATAATTGAAAACATACATATCTCCATTGGCAAAATAAAGAAGCTCAAGGAACAATTTCCCTGAAACCTCTGGAGAAGTGATAAGAAAAGTTTAAAAGCCATTGTATAGTGGTTTAAAAAGTAATGGAAGCACTTAATTAGATAAAATTAATTTACTGACTACCTAAAACTGGAGAACTAAATAAAATATCACCAAGATGAGTTTCAATTTCTATATAGTATCTCTCCATATATGAATACTTTATATCCATAATTACTCATATGTAGATATTAAATTTTGTTGAGTCATTCATTTCTTAATCTACTGATTCAGTTTACATTTATTGAGTATCTGCTATATGTGGGCATTATCCTAGATACTGGAGAAACAAACATTAATGAGATACTGCCTTGAATGTGAAGGACATTACAGTTTCCCTATAGAGCTAGCCATGTAAATAAACAATTTAGGGGCTGTTTTAGAAGTATGCATAGTATACCCTGGAACAAAGAGAAGGTGTGCTAGATTATTCTGAAAGGGGTTGAGATAGGCCTCATAGTGGGTGGGACACCCTTCAAGAAGACACAAGATGGATAGGACATGCCAGATGTATCCTAGGGTGAACATTATGCAACATGCATGGAACATTTTAATTTACAAAGATCCTGTTATTAAAGGTTAACCAGAAATACCATACAAATTTTCAGCAACATCACTGTAAAAATGAAAAGCATGAAACAAGGAGTCAACCGATAGAATCTGACGCCATGAATGGGGAGGCAAGATTTCCAATGTGAGATTTATCAATAGTGCGTCCTGCCAGGAATCTATCACATTCAAAAGGAGTTACTGTCAGTACCCTGGAAATATATCTATACTCCATCAACTTATCACATTGTTCTAAATTCCTCAACACTCTCAGAAAGAGCTGATGATTGGGAAAGTAATGGATTTCACACCTTCTCATTTTTTCTTCAATTAGGGGACAAAAGTCTACATGATCTCTCATATCTCCAGGACCACAGTATAGACTCAAGGGGAGGGACAAGGAGCAATGGCATTTTTAAACACAGAAAAATCAGTATTAGATATGTAGAGTATTAACAAATATGATTATGAAGGACAAATTGTGTGCGTGTTTGTTGGGTTTTTGTTGTTGTTGCTAGAAAACCATCAAATTCTCCTTTTATCTCTCAATTGCTAAGCATTTGGTAGAATCCTTAGCAGCAGAGATGTGTTTCTCAAAACCTGGTCCAAGGACCACCAGCATGAAAAGAGAATTTCACTCCTTATAAGGAAACAAAAAGTGCTTTGTAAATTCTAAAGTTCAAAGTAAATGTAAGGTACTATTTTTTAAAAAAAACAAAAAACAAAACAGCTTTCATGCATGCAAGAAACCTTAGAGATTATTGCAACCAAAGGTATCATTTGGAGATGAGACTACTGAAGCTAGAAAAGGTAGGACTCATTCAAGAATAAAGGCAGTTTAAGACAAGAACCCAGGCATTTCAAATTTAGTGTATTCAAAATGGATGCTTAATTTTCCTGTCTTACCTTTCACAGGTTGAAGTGCTATCCCTCCAAGTTACTCTAGTGAGAAACTGAGTCATTCTTCTTCCTTTCCAAAATTACTTAAATTCTGTTCACTTCTCTCCATCTTCAATGCCACTGCCATGGACCACAGTCTAAGAGGAATGCTTGAATTAGAAGACAGGGAGAGAGGTTTAAGCCTCAATGTTAAAAAAGACCTTAAACACATACATTTAGTATTAATTTTGAATTTAATAGTATAAACAGATATAGATTCACAACATCAATTAAAACTTTTTTCAACTTTGTGCTTTTTATTGGCAGGCAACAACTTTATACTCCTAGGTATCACTAAACTGTGTACAGTTAGAGACGCAGCATTCTAGAAAAGCAGGCAGCAGAATTAAACAGAGCAGACTTACAAGAAGGTCAGTCTTCATTATGTTGCCCATTTTTCATTATGTGTACACAGAAGCACGAATGCAATTTGAAGTTGTTGTTTTTTTGTTAAATATATTTTGATTGATTTCAGAGAAAAAGGAAGAAGGAGAGAAAAACATTAATGATGAGAGAGAATCATTGATTGGCTGCCTCTTGCGTGCCTCCAACTGGCGATTGAGCCCACAACCCATGGCATGTGCCCTGACCAGGAATCCAACTGATGACCTCCTGGTTCTTAAGTCAATGCTCAACCACTGAGCCATGCCAGCAGGGGCAATTTGAAATCTTTTAATGGAATGAAGTTACAATCACGCATCTATGTGACCAACACCTTAACTCCAAGTATTTGACTGTAATGTGTACGTAAGCAGTTTCTCATTGCACAATTATTAAAATGTATTTTTCCTGTTAGAAACCAGCAACTTATTTTTTGTGTTTTTCTTTTGAAGAAGTATGCTCCACACAGAACTGTTCCATTGTATGGAGGAAGATCAACTGAAGAGTGAGGAGTCACAAAAAACTGATTGCTTTCATCAGGGCTAAAATCTCC